TAAATGTTTATGGGTTGGCTACTTTAGATGCAACTGCAATTATGGCGAGACTTGTTCGCACCTCCATCTCACCTGCCTGTGGGGACGCCTCGCTTAATTGCGGTCTGTTGACTGCTGACCTCCCTTGTCAGACTCATCCTGGGCTAGTGGAGATTGTGTAAATCATAAAGTTTAACATTAACCCATATAAAAGATAATATATTGATACTAATCCGGAAGTACAGTACTCGCCGTTTGAAATCGAAAATTCACGCGAATAACGCGAATCCTCGTTAATTTCGTGAATTCGTTATAACTCGGGTCAGAGTGAAGTATTCCAGAAACGGAAAACACCGTTTGAAGCTCTCAAGCTCTTCAAGCGCTACAAGATGGTTCTGTTGAAATAGGAACCTAAAAATTTAGGTATAATTGCATCCTGTCATCGCCAATAAGCGAACCGGCCAACCAAAAAATTCCTTGTCAGCAAGTTGTAGACAGGGATAGTGCTTTTGAGCATACATTTGAGCTAAGATTCACTGAAGAAACTATCTTAAGGGTGCCCTCTCTGGCGGTTGGTTCTGCGACTATGATAGGGTCGAAATTTTTTGTAAAAACTAACATATGAAGGAACATACACGCCGCTGTGACGATTCAGTAGAAAACCCTCCACATTCACATCTAAATATCGCTTCATCAGATTGTTGCAGCACTACCTAGTGCCAGACATTCTCGGAAAGTTTGAGAGGTGCAAAAATGAGTCAGTAACTGATCATGGAGCTAAAATCATGTTCTTACTTCACTCTTCACTTGGGATCACTGATTCAAAGTTGAGAAAATGGAGAATATGATAGAACAGGTTTGTTGAAAACTTGTACCAGTTGTACTCAATCAAAGTTTCGTTGAGAGTGGAAAATGACCAAAATTAAGAGGAGCACGTAATAACTTTCTCGAACTGCGATTTTTTCTTTCAAATTCTACAGTGCTGGTTCAGTACGCTGTAAGCTGTGATTTCTTGAAAGTTTCGCTGAATAAATTCATTCCGCTAAAATGTTTGCTAGTTCTCTATAATTATTCATTCTTTACTTATGTAGTGTGATTTGGATTTTGTTAGGTTACCGCTTATTTCGGCCATATCTGAAACTTCTACGCTTCTATAGCAGTGATGTGAAAATTAGCTCGAGGTCAGCAGTCAACGCAGACACTTAAACAGAGCCGTTCCTTAGGCGATTGACAGGGCACGTTAATTGGCAGGTGTAACATGGGGGGTGTGAGGTCATCTGCATCTAAAGTTCCTCTCCCAATGTTTATGCACATGTGTCATATTCAAGGAGTCCCTAGAAAACGCGTATGAACTTATGGCAGTTGACTTGGACGTAGCATATTCTAGGATCAGGATTGTTTTAGCCTATAGGGCCCCATCATGTTCTGCGCCTATGTTTGAACAGTTAATTAAAGCAATTGGCGATCTGGCATGTAGCGATACTTATTTCCTTTTACTCGGAGACCTGAATCTTCCTGATGTTTTATGGCGTCGGGGAGAAAGTCCCAAAGCCAGTAGGCTTCGCGCTTTGCGCTTTATTGAATTGTGTCGCGCAGTCTTAACCTTCATCAATTAGTTTTATGTAAATGTAATTTAATTGTATGTAATTCATTTACAAATAAGCAACAACAGCAAATGTAGTAAAATATAGGTACAATCATTGAAAAAAAGTAGTATAAAAAACTCACAACACCGTAGGATCAGTTTCAGTTTCCTTTCTTTCGTTTCGTTTCGCACGTTACATTTCGTTTCAAACTTGTCGTCGTTTGCACCTAACATTTTGCACGGTGTTGCGGGTTTCCGCTCGGGACCCACCAACACTATCCCCCTCACGTCCCACGAATTCTCACACCTTCGTGCTTGATCACTTCTGCAATTGAGGTTTCCCCGCGGCTGCGGGACTTATCCTGTTTGATTGGAGACACCTGAGGACTTCCATTGCCATATGTGGATCGCCATGTCTGATTTGTTCAATCCCACCCTTTAGCCTTAGGGATTCTGCCACGGACAAGAAGGAAAGAAGGACCAAACTCGAAATGGAATTTCAGGTTAACAGCCCAAATTTGGGAAATTTCGTGGCTTACCTGTCACAACAGCGATTACGATGTCGGCGTCAGCGTACATCAAGGGACAAATGACGAAGGCAGCCAATGCCTTCAAGGAGAAGGTGAAAGCGGCTGAGAGGATTCTAGTCGAGGTCAGAGAGATGGAAATGGAACCCAAGGAAGACAAGAGGGTTATGGCGAAAAAGCAACACCTGATCGTGGAACACAGTGGTAAGTTTGAATCATCTGGCGAACATCCTCAAGAGTACTTGGCAACGCGGAGAAAATCATGTCGACGAAATGGAGGATGAGAAGAAGCACTACGATGTACTACAGGACTTCCTGAACCACTGGGAAGCGAACCAAGCGGAGCAACTTCTCGTGGAAGCTCAGGTGTTAGTTTCAAAATTAGAAGCTTTTCGTCAACAAGATAAAGACAAACAAAATAATACACAAATTTTACAATTAGATAATAGCATTCAATTACCTAGGTTAGAAATTCCATTTTTTGACGGGGATATGGTTGAGTTCCCAGAGTTCTGGGAGTTGTTCTCTATAGCCGTTCATAATAATCCAGCCTTAGTTCCTTCCTCAAAGTTCGTCCATCTTAAGAGCAAGCTTCGTGGTAAGGCAAAGGACCTGATTGTATCAGTACAGTTATCCGCCGAGAATTATCCGAGAGCAGAGACCGAGGTTTTGGCAGCGGCTTCGGCGCCAGGCGTGGAGAAGAAGTCTAAGGGCGCAGGAAGTGTAAGAAGAGATGGATACATCGGAGGTCAGCAAGGAAAATCCATCTTTAGTTTACAACGTTGACCCAGGGGAATGGGCACCAACTACGATGGCGCCCACTCAGCCGACTCAGGCGGGGCTAGAGATAACGTGGGAGACAGCAATCACGGCAGGCAAGAACATCAAGAAGGATCGAGAGGAAAAGGAAGAAGCCATTAAAAGGAGGGAAGAAAAGATGCAAGCTCATCACGTTCTCCTGCTCATCGGCTGTCGTCACGTTCTTGGAGGAGTATATGGACAGGAGAGACAGGCAGAGAGATTTGGAAGGAAGAGCGGAACGGCCACTAAGAGTCAATCCTGCGCCTACTACACTACAACGTAGGACCCATTGTTACCCCTCATAGTACATTTCAGGTTGAGCCGTATACTGTCGAAGAGCTTACAGCTCGTCAGTTCAGAACGGTCTTTCGATATATTACTACAAACAATGTCCTCAGGGACAGAATCAGGAATATTACAGTACCAGATAGAGAAACTACTCCAGCTCGTCCTTCGGACTTTGAATTAGTCTCCTAGAATAGTCCACCTACTCCAGACACTTCTTGAGATAGTTCAACATACCACTCAATCATTTCATAATTTGGCCGTTATTTTAGTTCGCAGGCAACCACTCGAGATCAGGTACACTCACCTCATGGGTTGGATCCATGAACTGACTCATAGCACCACAGCTATGACAGTGAATAGAGACCAACTCCAGGAGTTGATTTTACCTAGATTACTCCAGTGGTCGCATGACCAAGACTACTTCAGAGCAACCTTACAAGCTTTTCGGTATTACAGAAGACACCCTAAGGGAAATACTGATGCATAGTTCAGCTGTTCATGCGCATGCTACTCGCATGATCAGGGTGCTAGAGGCCCATCAGATGGTGCACTTCTTCAATCGAAGAAGAGTGCGAGTTACTTCAGAAGATGAAGAATACAGGCTTAGTTCAGCGGTTAGCATGCCTCCTCCTTGGCCGGAAGAACCCGAATCCTATATTCAATCTCTCCGTTGGTGGCGTGACAACTACTCCCATGCCCTCATGATCAGGACCACGGAAGAATATCTCCAGATATCGAGGATCGATAGAATACTTCCAGGAACAGGCTCAAGGACTTCAACAACGTCCCACTCCACAGGTCCCACAGCGCCCCCTAACCCAAATAACGGTTCCCAAGTTGCCCCCTCCAACCGCATGGCCAACGTCGGACCCCCTCGTGCCCCCGGAGGCTGGACATCCGTCCACTTCAGCTGCTGGTCGTCGCGAGGAATCTCAAGCTTTGGGTAAAAGGAAGCACGGAGACGATAGTTCAAGCTCAAGAAACGAGGCCACCGCCGGTTAAAACCCGTCGTACTCCACCACGCAGGTCTCCGAAGTTCAATCCGCAGACCAGTGAGCCAGGCTCCTTCGGCCCCTAGTCGTTCCCGTTCCAGGTTCCCCACTCGTGCGGCCCCATCGGAAAGTCACGGGAAGGTCGAGCCGTGTGCCTTCTGTCATGGCACAGGGCACTACTCGTCGGACTGTGACAAGTACCCGTACGTCAGCTCCAGAGCGCACTTGGCCGAGAGCTTCGGA